AAACGATGGGCCGACCACTTCAAGAAGCTCTTGAATCGACCACCACCTGCACTTCGTCCAGAAATACCACCAGCAGCCGCTGAACTAGAAGTGAACATAAATCCCCCAACGAAAATGGAAGTCCTGAACGCCATAAAGCTACTTAAATGTGGGAAAGCAGCAGGACCAGATGGAATCCCGCCAGAAGCACTGAGAACAGATGCAGAGACAACAGCGGACATGCTCACACCACTATTGCAGAAGGTGTGGAAGGAAGAGAAGGTACCGGACGATTGGAAGAAGGGTTACCTTGTCAAACTGCCGAAGAAGGGAGACCTCAGTGCTTGCAAGAACTGGCGCGGAATCACTCTCCTGTCCACCCCAAGTAAAATATTAAGCCGCATCATCCTGGAGAGGCTTAAAGACGCACTGGATTCAAAACTGCGACCGGAACAGGCAGGCTTCAGGAAGTACAAATCATGTGCTGACCAAATTGCAACACTTCGTATCATCATAGAACAGAGCGTAGAATGGCAATCAGCTCTCTACCTCAACTTCATCGACTTTGAGAAGGCCTTTGACAGCGTCGACCGAGAAGTAATTTGGAAACTGCTTCAATACTACGGAGTACCGCAAACCTTTATCTGCCTCATTCAACAACTATATGAAGATGCCACATGCCAAGTAATCCACAATGGGAAGCTCAGTGATGCCTTTGAAGTGAAGACAGGAGTGAAACAAGGTTGCCTACTATCCCCCATGATATTCCTTATTGTGGTGGACTGGATCATGCAGCAAACAGTAGGCAGCGAGAAGAGGGGGATACACTGGACGACGGAAAAGAACGTAGAAGACTTGGATTTCGCCGATGACTTATGCCTAATGTCACATAAACTTGAAGATCTGCAGGCAAAAACTAACAAGTTGATAGAAGAGGCAGCCAAGACGGGACTTCAAGTGAATATAGAGAAGACAGAAGTGATGAAGATACCGCACCACCACCATCAACAACAACAACAACAAACTCCAATCACCGTCAACGGGAGAAACTTGAAGGAAGTAACCTCCTTCACTTATCTAGGAAGCATTGTTTCAACTACAGGCGGGACGGACGAGGACGTCAAAGTCAGAATCGGAAAAGCAAGACAGGCGTTTATTAGCCTGAAACCAGTGTGGAGATCTTCTGCACTCAGCATCTGGAACAAGATACGGATTTTCAACACCAACGTCAAGTCAGTGCTCTTGTATGGCTCAGAGACTTGGCGCGTCACGAAAGGCATTTCCAATAAACTACAGACATTCATCAACAACTGCTTACGCTCGCTGCTGAAGATCAGATGGCCAGAAAAAATAAGTAACAAGGAACTCTGGGAACGAACCAACCAAGAACCTATCACGCAACAAATATGCAGGAAGAAGTGGAGATGGATTGGCCATGCACTGAGAAGGCCGACTGAGGACATCACGCGTCAGGCCCTCGAGTGGAATCCCTATGGGAAGCGACGAGTTGGACGTCCGAGGGTGACATGGAGGAGGTCATGCGAGGAGGAAATGAGAGCTTCTGGGCTGTCGTGGGACCAGGTTCAAAAGATCTCAGAGAACAGAGGTCACTGGAGGCGTGCTACTGAAGCCCTATGTTCCACTAGGAACCCAAGGGACTAATAATAATATATAATAATTTATGTTAATGAAATTTTTGAATCTCATACATTTAGTTCCCTTGAAAAGACATTTGTAGAATAAAATAAGCTCATTTTACTTCACAGCCTTTCAACACCTCCAAACTGCCTACAATTGAAATGAAGTATTAGTGGTAATAATGACGCTATTATTATTGTTATTATTATTATTATTTTCCCTTTGGGTTCCCAGTGGAACATACGGCTTCAGTAGCACGCCTCCATTCCACTCTGTTCTCTTCAGTCTTTTGGACCTGGCACCACGACTGCCCACAAGCTTTCATTTCTTCTTCACATGATCTCCTCCATGTCACCCTCGCCTCCGACGCCCAACTCGCCGTTTCCCCTTTGGATTCCACTCGAGGGGTGTGATGTCCCCAGTCGGTCTTCTCAGTGTATGTCCGATCTAATCCATCTCTACTTTCTTCTGCATATTTGTTGGGTAACAGGTTCTTGGTTGGTTCGTTCCCAGAGTGAGTTCCTTGTTGCTTATTCTTTCTGGCCATCTGATCCGATCTTCAGTATCGAGCCAGCGTAGGCGGCAGCTGTTGATGAATGTCTATAGTTTGTTGGAAATGCTTTTCGTAACGCTCCAAGTTTCTGAACCATGTGGCAGCACTGACTTGACATTGGTGTTAAAAATCCGGATCTTGTTCTTTGTGCTGAGTGTAGTAGATCTCACTACTGATTTCAGGTTAATGAAAGCTTGTCTTGCTTTTTCAATCCTGGTTTTGAGATTCTCGTCTGTGCCTGTGCCGCCACCTATAGTTGAAACGATGCTGCCTAGGTAGGTCGGTAGATAGGTGAAAGAGACTACTTCCTTAAGGTTTCTCCCGTTGATGGTGATTGGTGCTTGCTGTTGATGCTGTTATTGGTTGAGTATCTTCATCACCTCCATCTTCTCTACATTCACTTGAAGTCCCGTTTTCACTGCCCTGCTTCTTCCGTCATCTTGTTAGTTTTTGTCTGTAGATCTTCGAGTTTGTGCCACAGGACACTAGACATAAATCATCATCGTTGGCGAAATCCAAATCTTCTTCTGGAGTCTTTTATCGGTACAACCAGCCAGCATATGCCCATCTTCTCGCTCCTCACGGTTTGCTGCATGATCCACTCCACCACAATCAGGAGGATCATAGGTGATAGTAGGCGGCAGCCTTGTCTTACTCCTGTAATTATAATAACATAACATACTTTAAATATGTAGAAAGAAATCATTTGAAATCCAGGATTAACAATAAGCTGGTAAGTTGAGAAAGCACAGCACTAATAATCGCAAACCTTAATCTGATGAGGTGGAAACTTCAGTTGTGGAGAAGGGGAATGAAAAACATACAGGAGTGTAAAAGAATGGGTTGTTAAAGAGCTAGTAGGTTACATAATTACGTGGAAAAACTGGAAAATCATTATATGATTAACATTCAATCAGTAGTTATTGAAGAGATGATATAATTAAAAGAGGAGGACTATATACATACACATGCAAAAAGTTCTATGCGATTACCTAGGTAAAGAACGGTTAATTACAGTCTCTTTCTGAGTACACAGGTCGGGTTGAAAATGTTTGACGGCGAGAGCTTCTGAAAACCGTGATAAACATGGCGTTCCTTGTTTTTTGATTATTCTAAAGGACTGAGAAACATCTATTTGATGTCCTCTTTCCATTAGGTGTCTGGCTATGATGCTGGTTAAGATCTTGTTACCTTACGTAGACAGATTTATAGGAATATGCTCACGTAGACGCCCTTCTTTCGGTCCTTTTTATCTACTTACTTCCACAAGCATAGATGAATTGATTTATACAGTTGGAAGTGATATGAACTAGGTATTTGTCTACTTCTGTGTTATCGAGCATACTGCATTGTAAACTGAGATAAGTCTGGCAACAGCGAAGCTGCTTTTCTGTGCAATTTTTATTTTTCCATGTATTCTCAGATGTCTCATTACCTTTGAATGCTAAACGAAGGAAAACAGGATTGTTCTTCTTTATTCGCCAAATGTCTTTGTTCTTGCATTATTCAAATTTTTGAATGCTACGTGATATAGAGGCATGCATTTTTGTAGAATTCGTAAACCAACTGGTGATACTAAGCTTAGTGGCTTTGTTTCATTCCAGAATTCTTTCGCATCAGGGGTCAAAGTATATTGGATAACGGATAGAGAAAACTACGTAATGCAAACGAGGTTTTAGAATAGAAAGATATACAAGGGGTTCAGAAAATAGACACAATTACGTAATACATGGTTTATCTAGGACTGTTAAGGCTTTATGTTATGACCATGCCAAAGACGAAGGTTAAACATACTTTTGTGAACACTTCTGGATGTCTAATGCTTCAGTTATACCTAAATTCCTTGATCTCACCCTATTTGAGTAGGTTGATCTAACCTTGTAGCAGATTTTAAGAGTGCTAAGCTCCTTTTGAGCTAAATACTTTGTCTTCACCTCTTGTCTTCCTTTACTATTCGCAGCATCTTTTGGTTACTACCTAAATTACCAGTGAAGATGGTGTAACAAATTATTGCAGATTTGTGACTTCTATAGGTCGTTTTATGCAAATTATACTTCCTAGAACGAGTCAGAATTTTTAATAAGGGGCTTTCCAAAGTGCTATGCATAGGATTTGAATGGAAATGTGGTCTATTACCCTTCGCACTTGACTTCAAAGTGACTTCTCCTGTTTAAACTCCGCCCAACCGACTTTGACCTAGGATATCTCACAGCCAGCGTACAGCGAAGATTGGTCATAATCTAGTAACTGAACACCTGTACTCAATTAAATGGCATTATCACATTACATTTGACATTAGATATATTTTTACACGGGAGTTATTAGTATTCCCTTATACATTTTGCTTGTCTGCATACATTTCCATCTAAGTTCGATGCTAAATTATGCAGGTTTCATTCTTTGAAGAAGTGACTTCTGTGAGGTTCATATGTAAAGACAATACAACCTCTTGATCGCCGCTCAGGTTCATTGGGTAAGCTAACTGCAGCATAATTGTACACCAGGGGACTGTATCTAAAATTTATGTTGTTAAGATATTTTTTGTTGCCTGTTTTACTTATTCGTATGTCTGTTGTTATTATATCCAGTGATATTTTCTGTGTTTAAAAAGCCTTATTTACTAGAAATTTTTCACTGTAAGCTTTTAAAACTAACTTAAAATTGAACTTATTCTTTGCACTTGTTTACCTAAATGTTGTTCATGTGCATGTTTTATGAGAATAAATTGTTAAGTGTAATTGTCTTATATTTATAAGAGTATAAGTCAAAAAGTTTCTGTACTGCAATTACTTCTTTCCTACTTTGCAATGTTTTATTCATAATAATATAGATTGCTTCACAAACGGAATTAACTGAACATGGAAAACGTCTAGAAGCTGTTTTATCAGCAGTTCGAGCTGAATTAGAACAGCATAATATGGTGAATACGCTAGCTGATGAAAATGATCGTAGTGGATCAATAATTTTCGGACAAAAAATTCATGAAATGTTAAATCCAGAGCCAGATTCAAGAATTTCACAAGATCATTTATCAAGCGATGCGAGAATTCAGGTAACATTTAATTTTATAAATATGCTTAACTTTTTTGTTGACGGTGGTATATAGTTTTTATTAGATTGATCAAAGGAATCATTAAACCCTATCAACACCGAAATACAATGCACTGCAGTGCCATGTCTTGTTGCTAAGTAAGTTGACTAACTTTAATCAGTACTCAACATGTCGGACTTAATATTTAAATTGGTTTCCATCAAGGGATAGGTTCAGGGACTGAACTGTGAAATTCTCGGCATATCATCTTACCGATCTTCATGGCATCTAACTTTTTTATTCGTTACATACTATTGGTGACATTGTCCATAGAAAGCTACGATTGACGCCACTTTAGGAGGTTTTCTTGTTTTTTTGTTCTAAGTTTAGCCTTATGATGTTATGAAAGATGGCTTATTTCCTGTCCATCTTTTGCCCTTAAATTTGGTGTTAGTGACAAGAAAATTCTACAAGATGTTGCTCATACTATGCCATCGTTTATTGAACCGAGCTGATCGTTTTCTATTGGCATATGGGTTTCTTCGCGGACGCCTCCATATTGCCTGTAGTTCCAATTTTCATATTTATGATGGGTGGTGGCTAGCAGTGGGACCCAGGACGCATGTCTCATCCTATTTGGGACCCATCAGCTGAATGTATTTGCCCCTCAGTGAGTGATGTCTTTACCAAGGCTCAAACCAGAGAACGATCCACCATAAATATGAAAGTTGAAAATACGAGCAATATTGAGGCATCCGCACAGGAGCGCATACGCCAACAGAGACCGATCAATTTGGTCCAGTCAACGACGGAATAATACCAGCAACAGCATATTAACTATACCTGTTTCACAAGAAGTGGTTATTATGACTCTGTGGCCTAATGGATAGTGCTCTGGGGTTTGAAGCGATCGGCCCTGGGTTCGAGTCTTAGCGGGAACAACGTGGCTCACTGGGAGGCGGGTACATCCATCTTAGGAGTCCCAAATAGGACGAAACGCGCGTTCTGAATTCCACTTGTAGCCACTATCCATCATAAGTATTGAGAAGTAAGTCCTGCTCAAAATTTCATCAGGTAGGTGATGCTGTTTCACATCGTATGCTGTATCAACCAAACCTTTCTATTGTGGAAGTGCACTTTACCACTATACCAAAAATTTACTATTATAGTGATCAGTACCTTTCGTTTGTTCAGACTTAGAATGTCTTTGGGAAGAACTTAAGTTTCCAAGAGACCTAGTTGAAGTATGAACAATTAAATTCCTTTTCTTCTTTTTTCTTAGGACATGGCTGGCCTTAATTATTCGTCCAGTGGATTAGAAAAGTCGCTACTTCTATTAAAAAATTCATTCCATGAATTAAGTCATTCTCCAAGCAATTTGTACAGTTTTCAGTCATTAACTGGTTCTCTGAATGGATTATACAAAAAAGCAAATCCTTTCTCCTCAGGAGTATGTCCTAACAATCATACGGGACATATGGATGAGCCTGGAACAAACTACACAACTTCCGGACTGGGCTCTAGCTTGAATCCTGGTACTCAGGCAGAAAGCAACGGTAGTGCTCAGGAGAATTCGGCTATTTTATCACCATCTACTCTGGTTGGAACAAAACCAATCGGAAACGATTGGAAGGTGAGCATGGGTTAAATTTTTTCAAAATGTTGTTCTTTCAGTTGAACCAAGAAGTTACTAAAATGTGTTTCTGGATTTCAAAATGCCAAAATCGCTGTCTTATGTCACTACTCATTTTGACAGTAGAATACGAATTAGTTCATCGCACGGACCACTCCACTTGTCTGACACAAATCTTAGTGGGTTGGTGGGTCACATAATTCTTAAACAATTGCGAAAAACCCGTCTAACGTTTACCAACGTACACTACCTGTGAATCATTAAAAATATTAGGAGGCCTGGCATTGGGTTGTATGCTGCATTGTAAATGGAAGGCATGTGAAAACCACCGGTATTTATATCGAATGGCTCACATTTAATGCAACTATTTAGTGGGCAGTAATAATGTTAGGTATGAAGTGCTACTTTAAGGAGGTTAGCGAAATTGTAGACTTTTATCGATGGAAGTGTTTGGGAAGCGTGTTATAGATGGTGAAGTGACCGAGTGGAACTAACTGATCGAGTTAGGCGAATTCCGAGAACGCTACTAAAGCAGTGAGATACGTGGACTGGGTACGAATAGGGACTGTTTTCTCTTAGACCTGATACTTCACTTAACCGCAAAAATCAGAAGATGAAAAACCGATTTGTGACCATAAAAAAAACTCTTTCTTTGATAAAAACAACAACATTTATATACAATTTTTCCTCAGAAAATAAAGCCACTAGGTTACAAGACAAATGCTTATTTTTATTGGTTAGCTGAAGGGTAAAGTTGTCCAATAGGGTTTTCCCTGCCCACACAGTAACATGAAACCGAGGTTGGAATGCAAAACTTCTGGCGGCTTGCGACTTAAAATGCTGATTTCGATCAAGGTCACTTCCTTTCACATGCTTGGTGTTATAATGACAAGTGAACTTATACGCTTGCTTCTTATAATTAGTTAGGAGGATTTTCTACACGTCTCACCGTCTGACTACAACTGCATTTGCCTACGCTTTTCCCATCCTTATGAGTCAACAACCGAACTGAACACAAGATGAGACAATCTACCTTTTTTCCTGTATCAGATTGACAGGTTTACGCTCATGCATATCATTACAAAAATGCAAGAAAACATATTCGGGTGCAAAAATAAGGAACATGGCTCACAGTTCGTCGACCATAACTTTTCAATGAAAGGACATGAAAAAATAATCTTCGGGTCTCTTGAAAAATTACGAAATTGTGCTGTACACTGACTTTTGATTAAATTGTCCTTGAAAATAAATACAATGACTGGTGAATTGCTTGGAGATACGATTTCTCGAAGTCCTAATGAGAAGTCATGACTTGTGGGGCAAATCAAGTCGGACATAAAGATGAATACTCAACAATGACACTGGATAAAATACGGCCTACTTCGTGAATTGATAGTACTAGGGAAATGTGGACCATTTAATTCCGACCCAGTGGCTCGTGGGTCCGATACCAGGTGTGGTTGTTCGTGCGCACTGCTGAATCGCATACTAGGAGGAAACTGCTGTCCAACTGGTGTCAGTTCGTGATGAATGCTACTGTGAATGCAATGATTACTTGGTATGTACTCAACCAATTTAGACGTCTTTCTTTCGGTGGTCTTGGATACAATACTATTGAACCTAAATTTTTTTTATGGTTGTCACGAGAAGACTTATCTACTTTTTTGTAGTCTAAGATGATCAAAGAAGTAGATCAGTTTGACGGTACTACTTCCGATTCCCATACACTACCTAGTTCATAGGTCACTTAAATTAGCAGTTTCTTTCCTCCATCCGTGAAAAAGCCAGATGGTAGACCGTCAGGTCCTGAAGCTTTGCATCGTTTCGGGTTCAACACAGCCTTCTCAACTAAGAGGAAATTTGGAGGACCGACATCTATGTCCCATTCAAGTTCAGTCTGAATGCTGGATAACTGAAGCATCACTGTGGACCAGTCAAACTGTGCTTCAAAATGTTCTGCACAACGATGTAGGTGTCTGTGCTGAATGGTTATCACTGTCCCATTCTTTTCGATGATAGTAACGATAATCATCGTTTTCTTCTTGCCGGTATCCTTAGTAAGCCTAAATAGTTGGTGGGTGTTACCCAACGCTGATTCCTTCTCCATCTCTGTCGCTTTTGCCGCTCGCCACTGCTCACGGTCGACACGAAGACTCTTGGTGAACTTACGTTTGAGTTGCTTTCGCTTTTCCTTCTGGTCACAGCTAGCTGGAATGAGTCTTCTCGCGTCAACCAGTTCGGCTGATGTTACAGAAATGCAGTGATGCTTGCTAACCTTCGTGTGTGGGTTATCGACGATGTTCACCGGTGTTTCTGCAGTGGACTTAATATATCACGCTAGGTTTCCTCAGGATTAGTATTGCTGTCACCTTCAGATAAATGCTTAACTAACTCCGCCGTAAATGCATACTTAGCGTCCTCATATTCCAGTCGACTACAGGCAAGCTTTACCATCATCTATTTCCTGCGGTCAGTTAGATGCAGACATACACGGATTTCGTACTAATGCGTGACTGGAGTCGAAGCAGCTATTACTTAACCATTCAGTGGTAACATCACTCTTGTATTATCTTTATCCTTTAGTTTTTACAATGTTTCACCACATGATGATCTTTAATGTAATGCGACGAATCAAATTTCTTCGAACTTGGATGATATCAAACTACTTTTTATGGACAAAACACCAATTCGCAGCATATAAAGTAGATTACAAAGATGATTGACCCTCATAGTGAAAAAATGGTGGGAGTACACAGTCACTCACACAACTTCTGAAGGTTATTTCTATTACGCTCGAACTTTCATCACTTCATTTAAAAGCGAATCAAAAAGGAGAAATGATGACGTTTTAAACGCTTAAGACCTTGTTACAACGGAAATCGCTCAGTTGTCTCCGTTAAGAGTTACATCAGTGAATTATAGCTACCGCGAGTTCTTTCTAATCTATGTATCGAAAGCCACAAAGTAAATAATGCTTCTCTTGATTCAAACAATGTCCTTTTCTGAAGTTTAATTAAAACAAAAGAAATTGAATATTTTTTGAGTCACCATTTTGCTGATAAAGTTGCCCCAATATTCTAATCTTCATGACCACACAGTCTTAGATGTAAAACAGTGCTAAGTCAAAATTTTAAAATAAGGCATATGTGAATATTGGACCATCTATATCTCCACACTCATCGGGATCAAATATTGTTTGGCTTTCGCTTCACATGCATATTTTCCATTTCAGCAAAAAGTGAGTAGCTCTGTAGGACGACAACTATCTCATGTTGAAGTAGAATCACCAATAACCTCAGCTTCTGTACATCAGTCTTATACTCCGCGACATTCTAAATCTGGTCGTACACGATCCAGGCCTACATAATCAACACTGCAGGTTAGTTAAAACTCCTTTTCTTGTGATATGCCATTTTAGATGGGATTTGGATAGAGAGACAGGTGTTTTATGTTCAACTTTATTTTTGAAATCTTTAATACGGACTTTTTGTTTTCTAGAATTCGTGGCTTAATTTCATAGCTATCATTATCTAGTTAGACAATACCTTGATTCTAAATATGCTCTCGTAACGACTTCAGATGTTCTAAATTGGATTTTTAAGATGTCTTAATGATCGACAATAAAATAGTTAATCCTCCTAGTAAAATGGTCAAACAAATTATTAGACAAAACGGAGCCGATGAGTTTTCTTTTAGGAACGAAGATTTGCTACTTATCAATGACATAAGTAGTTCAAATAAACAAGTTTAAAACTGTGACTGAAAAATCAGCATACTTAGGTTAATATAGAGTGCACGGTTGAGGACGAAATAGAATTGAACATCTGCTAAAAATTTCCAAAAAACCAACTTTTTATTCGAAGGACTACTAAAGTCTTCTCGAACTACTGTAGCATAAGGCTCCAGTGTCCAGTTATTTCTGGTGCTCTTTCTTCTCCTGGATAGGCAAACGGGATCAGTATTTCACTATGTTGTGCACATATTATCATTTCTTGAAGGTATAGCATTCACAATAAAAAGAAAATCTGTACTGTCCTACTTTTTCATAAATACTCGGTTCTTCAGCTCCATCGTCAAACTATAAAACAAGTCCACTTCCTTCTAATACCTCCAGAAACTCAAGGAGAATCACGGTTTTACTACGTTAATAGGTCATTCAACTATTTAAAAGGCGATTTTCACAATATTTTGGATTTCTATTTTTCCATCTGAGTGGGGGTTATTGAGACTATTTTCTTCTTTGTGTCGAAATGACCAGTCACTATGTAGAAAAGTCTGACTAGGGCTGTAGCAAAGATATAACAGTGTAGCTTTCTGTATGGTTTTTAGTTCGAAGTTAAATAAATCCCTTTTTATCTTTCTTTTCATCGGATTTCAAATAAGGTATTAGAATACAGTTCGGATTTATCAGTGTTGTATTATCTATTTAGGTCATAACCTCCTGCTGCATTGTTCATAGTCATTGAGAGCTGTAAGCTCCGTTGATAGTCCGTTGCCTGGTAACCATAATTAAATTTTTATTAAATCTTAAAGCACCTAGTGGCTTGAGCGATGAAAATAAGATAAAGGATATGTACTTCAATTGTGAATTGTTTTCCTGAAGCTATGCAATGGTTCATAGGTTCATATCCAAGCTAAAACAGTAGGAGTGACCACACAATGAATACATATGTACTCAGAGGTCTGTTTGAAAAGTAAATATTTATACAACATTAGATACAATATTCTTTTGCATGAGGTTTATTTTTCTACGACAGGATAATACAGCAGCTTAATCGTGCAAACGTTATGAGACTGAGGTGGTAAAATAGTCACCATACTGCACAAATCAATTTTCGATTTCGTTATCATCTTGCTCACATGGTAGGCACAGATAGATGTATCTAGATTATGATACAGTTGACTATGTAAAAGGTGCTCTTCAATTAGCTTACTTTCGAATGTTGCTGCCTACATCAAAATTAATTTCCAGCTTTTTAAGTAAATCTCTGATGGACACTGGTGATTGTGATAAACTTTCATAAATCAAATAACATGTCTAATTATGTCTTTTTTAAAAGCTTGATAGTATTTCTCCTTTGAACCGGTTAGCTGTTATGAGTGGACCACTTAAAGTGATAAATATGGCTGAACAATATTCAACCTAAACTAGCATCAGTTGAAGAACCATTAAGAACCTGAGAGTACTAGACAGTTGTTTCGTCCTCATTTCGAACCTCTCAACAGTCGGCTTCCACGCTCCCGCTAAGTCTGAGACTCTATACCGTCATGTCCTATGACCATCATCCAGTCACTGGATGGGAATCCAATGGTCCATATTATCTTAATTCTGTCAATTCGTGATATAGCTCGGCCATCATCGAACTCCACCGGCGAGTATTTATCGTTACACCTGAATTCGGAGACTCTATGTATGAGTCATGAACACTTACTAACACTTCTGGAAATCCATTAATGAGCGCTGGAAAGTACTACACTTGATAGTTTGTGGGGACTAATTGATTAAGTCCGTTACAATGAGTCCTGATAGCCTTAAGTTCGATCCCTGAGGGTTGCTGAGGAGTCTTATACTAGAACAAAATAGTTGGTCAGTGTTTCTAGATTTTTAGTGGGTTCTCTAACTGATTTCAATCTGTAACTAAAAGTTCTTAGTTGTAGCTTAGCTTACTGATTCTCTGTGACTGCCTGTTACATTGCCTATTGCAGTTATCATCAGTGTTTTTTTTACATACTGTATGCTTAGTCATTGTTTTCTTCCTGTTCCTTCCACTCCCTTTCAGTATAGATGAAGAAAATAAATTCTAATATTATTTGAAAACAGCAAGTGTATATTTGGATCTAATTGAATGGAAGTGTAGAAATGTTTCAGAAATTACTAATTGTTACCACTTGAGATAACTAAGTCCTCCAAATTACCACTGGGCTATGCTTTGAAGCCTGTTTTCAATCCACACAATTCCCATATATATACATATATCTGACAAAGTTTAACTATAAATCCCAACAGTTTATTTCTATGATTTAAAAGCTTTTGTACAGATAACTCTTTGCTCCTCTACCGGTTGCAATTTTACCTAGCCGGGCCAAGAAGTCGTCAAATAAATGAAATAACCTCCTTTCTAGGCGCTTACTGTTATTATTGTTATGCCAAAGAATATGTATGTGTTTGTAAGCTTTAATTTCTGAATTATTTGTCTGTATTGATTGATATCTAGAACCTTTTTAGTCGCAAAGTCTCCGAAATTGGAAATGACAGCAGCGGTGATGATGTTAATTGGTCAACGATAGAAATCTCCACCATTTCCGACTAGTATCAATAAACATGACACAACTGGATGCCTTTTCACCGAATCTTCTTAAATGTGTAAATAACTGACACTCATTCTTTTCTCTTATTGCAGTGACATTTACGTCTTCCGTTCCTTCTTATATATCTACAGTTTCATTGAATACTAGTTAGTTTATACAAAGTAAAATTGGTTTTTTGCTTAAATTGTCTTCAACGAGAAATAGAGTATGCTATATTAAAGTTAATCAGTGTTTTTGAATACGTCAATTCCAATGACACTTTGGATAAAATTTTAATTTATTTAGTCTCCTTTTTTTTCATTCCTTACATAAACAGTTTAGTTTCATTCTGAAATAAAAATCACTTATCATGCAAAAGCAAAGTTTTGTTGATAACGCAAAGTTTCAACAGTAAATTACCAAGGTGAGAAGAATATTAGATGAAGAGATGAAGATACTATGGTAGACTTTTGAAATTCACCTGTTTCTTACCGAAAGGTGAACTCTCTCTTTACGTAACAGTCTGAAAAAAACTGCATTATGCATGAAAAGACACTTACAGTGGTGGGGCGAATTTCGGTAATACATATAAAATGGCTGTTAATGATGGATCGTGGCTAGCAGTGGAATCCAGAGTGCACATTTCGTCCTATACAAGGCTTTTAGACTTGACGGCTGTTTCGTCTTGATGTGTGACTCCTCAGTAGCATGTGCACGTGACAATCTTTTATCTACTGGTTTCATGAATTCCTAGAATATTAGTTATTTATGGATAGTTTGGCTTGTTGTAGGATCTCACATGTGCCTTTCATCCTATTTAAAACAGTAGACTATGAGCTGTAATATCTACGATATTAGATAATATATATTTTTATGTCTCAGTATCTTGGAACAGTTATGATTTTATTTCGTTATTTTGGTTAAAACTTCGATTTTAAAGCTGGTGTTGAAATCAAAAAGATGCAGTAAAATATTGGCTCATGGATGTTTGAGTCTAAAAAATCTGGACAGATAGTCAATTTATCGAATTTTCCCTACGCTTATTTCATGTTTACTTAAATAATTAAGTTATGCAATGTTATTCTTGTCAGTTGGTAAAAACCGGTGCATTATCACTGTGACTGGAAACTTGGCTTTACGCGTGAGATAAGAACTTTCTGCTTCTCATACATTTTCGAAATGTACTCACAACTGAAAACTATTTTGGAGCTTTTTCTCTACTGATGACAGAGTATCAGGTATTGATTGATGCATTTTGAAGAATTTATGTTTTTACATACAAGGTCATATTGATGAGGATATGAGGCTTAGTTGACTGAGGTATCTTGGACATCTCTTGCGCATGACGAGCCACCCTCTACCTCCCCTTGACATGATGAAGTAAGTTACATCAGGTTGAAAAGGGGTTCAGAGTAGCCAGATTAAGACATGGCACCAGTATGTGACTATCGGTCTGGGCCGTGTGGAGGAGATGCAGACTGCCTGGCTAGAGTCCCTGAAACAATTGGAATCGGTGGTGGAGAACTCTTGGTGATATGGCTCATATGTGTTCTCTACTTGACACCTTCTAAAGCTTGAATATATTCGCAATAACCTGATTCTTCAGATTGTCTATTTTCTCACACTACTTTGTCGTTTTTGATATCACTGTTTTTCTATCCACCTGTTCTTTGTATACTACTGTGAATTGTGACAACTTGAGACGATGCACCTATGCATGAGGTTCTACACTGATTTTATTAGTGTCAGTGAGAGATCTTACACTAGTCAGATATTAGATCATATTTTTCATACTCTGACATACTATATATATATATATACTTCGAAAAGTTTCCAAAGATTGGATGCAATCATTGCTTTTTCAGATAAACAGATCGATAGTGTCTGTTAATGGATATGCCAACAATGATCACTCTTGTTTAGCACTATCAATTAATACTGTTACTATTCCTTTCTATCTTATGAGGAAACCTACTTGATTTCAAACTAGCAAATGTTTTTGCTATATCAAAAGTAACGGGTGTTTATAACAATAGGTTTTTGTGTAAGATATTTGTATATGAAAAGTTTACAGGATAAAATAGTATAAACAAAGTGGTTTTTAAAAGTGTTATACAATGGAAGCCTTCGTGAACCGACAGTTGATGATAGTGAAAGCGAGAATTCTATGTAACCTACAGTAGAATAAGAAGTTAGTAGTATTATGCGTTGTTTGGTACTTTTAATTAAGGCATACATGGTAACATAAGTTGAAACGGGTTGAATATGATGAAAACTTTGTATGGAATAAAAAAAGACTTTTTGTAAATCTGTCTAATAACTGCTTTCCTTTCTACCTATAAGTCTGATTTCAAACTTTCGATCACAATGATCTAAGTGAATCAGAGAATGACTAAGTTATCCTTCTAGTTGCTTCCCTTGAAGCACATCTAGATAGAGTCTGACCATCGCTGGACAGAGGAATAAGTAAATGACCCAGTACTGATTGAAGTCTTCCTCGAGTCTATGACTAACACCTATGTTATCTAGCTGGAATTCAAACCGCTATGTGAAATAGTAAAATACGACATACACTACGAAAAAGATTGGTGTCAAGGCGTGAAAACTGTTTACATGATATCATCTTCAAACGACAATCAGATACCCCGTTGTGCATGGGAAACTAACTTCGAGTTCCATATAGGTCGAAGTGCAGTTATAAAAACTGCAAACTGCTAGTTTTACACCTCAAAAACCTTTTAACCTTTTCTCAAGGCTGTTTAAGCCCATAGGTAGTATGCGATGGCTTGAAAAAAGATATCTTCATATTTGAACTAATCGTTTAAGATCGGTTAAGTATTAGATTTGTTAGGGGACTGTCGTATTGTAGTGGACGTTGCTCATCAGAATGGATATAAGTAGTATATGTTGAGAGGGAGGCAGAAATCATAGGAAATTACCAGCAGTGGGTAAAGATTCTGCCCAGAGAAAAGGAAGAGACAACGTGGGCGTATTAAGAGCGAATCAAGATAGAAGCAGAAGAGGAAATGACTGTGACTGTCTTAGTGGAAAATGTACAATATTTGATGACTGCTGTACAAGATGTCGATAATAAACATTTCCTGCGTCTCAGTCTTCTTGTTTCCTTCAGTATCACTAAGACGTCCTGAAAATATTTCACCATTAAGAAAACATTTCATCAGTTCATGGGGAACTTTACCGCATGTGACACAGAAACATTCGGCACCACAACCAATTTTTTCGCCAAGTCATAGGTAGAAATCAGTTTGAAATACTTGAGTTTTACAATCGGTGTTTACTATCGCTTATCTATTCCAGTCCAGCGATATTTAACATATGTTTGTGAAGTTTATGAATACTATAAAGAACTTCCAAGCTGATGGAAAGACTATTTTCACTAAAAAGCTTGTTGGCTTGGACTACAATTTATAAGAAAAGCAGGGTTGAAATAACAGTATTCATGGTAAGTAAAGCACACAAGTCGCTTGTACAAGGGCTGATCAGTTTAGTGTTTGTAACCAATAACCAGCACATACAAATTTGTTGGAACTAACACCTAAGAAAAATCATGAAGTTGTGACAGTAATCAGTCGATAAGACTGTAATGACGATTTAAGCAATAAAGAAAATGAAAGACAGTGGCAGAATATGACATTGCATATCTTTAGTAAACAGAAATCGGATCCTGGTTTGTGGATTATGAATGCCTCTGATATGCATAAATGACGATTCCATCATAACTATAAATATGATTGAAAATAATTTGTCGAAAAGATTTTCCTGTGTTACTTTTGGTACATCATTTGGATTCTAATTTTTCTTGTTGTCTAAATCATGACTACTTGAAACCTGGAAATGGAATTCCTCTCTGGAAATTATTCCTAGCTAGTATATGCCGCTACTAACAACAACAAGAAGCTCGAATCACCATCAACGGCAGAAACTTAAAGGAAGTAGCCTCTTTCACCTATCTAGGCAGGGCAACATCGTTTCAACTACAGGTAGTGGCACAGGCACAGACCAGGATGTCAAAGCCAGTCAGGATCGGAAGGACAGCAAGACAGGCGTTCATTAACCTGAAACCAGTGTGGAAATCTTCTGCACTCAGCATAAAGCGTGAACAAGATCCGGATTTCCAACACCAATACCAGTCAAGTCAGTGCTTCTATATGGTTCAGAGACTGGGCGCATTACGAAAGGGATTACCAACAAACTACAGACATTCATCAACAACTGCCTACGCTGACTCGATACTGAAGCTCAGATGGCGAGAAAGAATAAGCAACAAGGAACTCTGACTGGCTGGCAACGAACCAACGAAGCGAGAACGTATCGCTCAACAAGTATGCAGAAGGAAGTGGAGATGGATTGGATTGGGCATGCACTGAGAAGACCATTCGGGGACATCACGTTCCAGGCCAGGCACTCGAGTGGAAACTAGATGGGAAGCGGCGAGTTGGGCGTCGGAGGCGAGGGTGACATGGAGGAGATGGTGTGAGGAAGAAATGAGAGCTTGT